CCAAAAAAAAAAAAAAAAAAAAAAAAGAATATGAAAACAGAAAAATGGCAACTTGGTTTCACTATGCCTTCCATGGAGAATTTTCTTTCTTCAAATTTGCCAAGTGTAACCTGTTCAAACTCATGTTTTAATATTTTTCACACTCTCATTTTAGATTTATTCCTACTTACAAATTAATTAATTCAAGAGGTAAATGCCCAAATTTTAAATTGAGATCAATTTCATCAATCTGGACATAAAGAAGAAGTAAATCTTCTTTTAAAATGTTTAATTTTTACTTTTTTTTTTTTTTTTTTAATAATACATAGCAACAGTCTCCCTATGTTGCCCAGGCTGATCTCAAACTCCTGGACTCAAGCAATCCTCCTGCCTCAGCCTCCCAAAGGGCTGGGATTACATACATGAGCCACTGCACTCAGCCAAAAAAGAAATTGAATCCTCCTCCATTGTTTCAAATATAAAACTGGGATTTCCCTTGTAGAATACTGGGTTATTTTTAGAATACAGGAAATGACTAAGATGTGCTGTCCCCACACAGCGCTCACCCTCATGGGATCTGATCTCAACCTGGCTTCCCTGTGAGAAGAAAAATGTGGCAGCAAAGACAAGGTATGATCTTGCATAGCAGCAGCAGGCACATCAGGAAACTATACAGCGACTAAATAGGTATTGGAACTCAGTTTTGCCCCACAATGAGGTCACAGAGAGGGAGAATGAGGGCACCCCAGTCTCTTCCCTTCCCATAAAGAAATGTACCCTTTTCTAATCCTAAAGAGTATTTGGGGCCAGGCGCGGTGGCTCAAACCTGTAATCCCAGCACTTTGGGAGGCCGAGGCGGGTGGATCACGAGGTCAGGAGATCGAGACCATCCCGGTCAGCACTGTGAAACCCCGTCTCTACTAAAAATGCAAAAAATTAGCTGGGCATGGTGGCGCGTGCCTGTAATCCCAGCTACTCAGGAGGCTGAGGCAGGAGAATTGCCTGAACCCAGGAGGCGGAGGTTGCGGTGAGCCTAGATCGCGCCATTGCACTCCAGCCTGGGTAACGAGAGCGAAACTCCATCTCAAAAAAAAAAAAAAAGGAGTATTTGGTTCACACAGTTTCATCCTTATGCTGCAAAGGAGTCTAAGAACTCGAGCAGCTGCACTGAGATGCATCACAGCCAAGAGTACTCTCATTCACCACATGTGAGACTTAAGTATGCATGTGTTCAATCCTGTCCAGTGAGATGTCCAATGTGATTTCCTAGCTTCCTATTCAGGAAGGAAGGAAAGTCTGCTGCCCAAGTATGGTCTGATATGCAATGGCAGACTCTGTCATCTCAGAACTGAAGGCAGGTAAGAGAGAACAGTGAAATTCAAATTCCGACTCACAGGACTTCAGATGTATGATATGACACTCCCCTTTTCAATAACTATTCATCGGTAACTTACCTATTTTCTTGAGCTTAAAAGGGCAAAAATCAGCCAGGACTGGTGGCTCACGCCTGTAAGCCTAGCACTTTGGGAGGCCAAGGTGGGAGGATTGCTTGAGGCCAAAAGTTCAAGACCAACCTGGCCAACATAGCAAGACCCTGTCTCTATTTATTGATTTTTTTTTTTTTTAAAGGGGCAAAAATCCATACAAACCATTTGAAATATCCAAGACCTGTCAATTTCTTAAAGAGACAACATTTCTGGGTGATAGAAATTCAAGAAAAATTTTGACATTTGTTAAAATGTTCTAGAAAATACCACCAGTAGTTTTCATAGTAAATTCAATCAAAAAGAAACCAAATTAAGGGCCTATAAGGACACTTTTTATATGCTTGAAAATTTACACAGTAAGATTTAAAAAAAAAAAAAAACCACTCTACCTTAGGCTGGGTGCAATGGCTCATGCTTGTAATCCCAGCACTTTGGGAGGCTGACCCTGTCTACAAAAGCAGCCAGGCACAGTGGCACATGCCTGCAGTCCCAGCTACACAGGAGGCTAAGGTGAGAGGATCCCTTGATCCCAGGAATTTTAGGCTGCAGTGAACTATGATCATGCCATTGTATTCGAGTCTGGGCAACAAAGCCAGACCCCATCTCTTAAAAAGAAAATTATAGGCCGGGCGCGGTGGCTCAAGCCTGTAATCCCAGCACTGTGGGAGGCCGAGGCGGGTAGATCACGAGGTCAAGAGATCGAGACCATCCTGGTCAACATGGTGAAACCCCGTCTCTACTAAAAATACAAAACATTAGCTGGGCATGGTGGCGCGTGCCTGTAATCCCAGCTACTCAGGAGGCTGAGGCAGGAGAATTGCCTGAACCCAGGAGGCGGAGGTTGCGGTGAGCCGAGATCGTGCCATTGCACTCCAGCCTGGGTAACAAAAGCGAAACTCCGTCTCAAAAAAAAAAAAAAAAAAGGAAAATTCTATGTTTGACAGACAAGTCAAAAGCAAAACCTCTGTTCAGAAAATTTACTTGTATCTGGGCAATGCTAAGCACTAGGGACTTGTTCCCAGACCTTCATTACAGGATGGAAAGTAGGCAGCCAGGGGAAATGTCTGAATCTCAGGCATATGTATTAGGTAAGACAAGATCTCACTCTGATTTGTGACTGGGTCTCGTGCCACACTCTGAAAACAGACACCATGCTTCCAATCAACGATCCCTCTGCTCCTAAGAGACACTGTAGTCAAGCCTCTGGACTCCCAGGCACCTTTCCACTGATAAGTCCTGCTCCCCAGGCATGTCAGTTGATAATCAATTACAACTCAAACATGTGCTTGAAACCATGGTGGGGCCCTGTAACATCCCTGTGCCCAGGCCCAAAGTGAGGCTCTGGGCAAACCAGGCAGAGCCCATGCCTATGCTCCTTAATCTACTGTACTCCACTTGCTTCTCAGACGTTCTCCAGATTGAATGCTGTTCTGAGGATGAGTCCATCCTTTAAGATTGACCCTTAGCTGGGCATGGTGGCGCGTGCCTGTAATCCCAGCTACTCAGGAGGCTGAGGCAGGAGAATTGCCTGAACCCAGGAGGCGGAGGTTGCGGTGAGCCGAGATCGCGCCATTGCACTCCAGCCTGGGTAACAACAGCAAAACTCCGTCAAAAAAAAAAAAAAAAAAAGATTGACCTTAAGTATCAAGAGTCTGGTACCTGGAATTATAAACTCTTTTAATTTGATTAATTTATTTATTTGAGACAGCATCTCATTCTGTCACCAGGCTAGAGGGCAGTGGTCCGATTTCAGCTCACTGCAGCCTCTGCCTCCCCAGTTTCACCAATTCTCATGCCTCAGCCTCCCCAATTCAAGCAATTCTTATGCCTTAGCCTCCCAAGTAGCTGGGATTATAGGT